CTGTCGGCAAACAGGAACTCCGCTCACTGGCAAACCCCGCAGCCACCGCGCTTTAATACCTCATGCAAATTTCAGGAAAAGCACCATACCCTATCTGTGAAACCCAACCCCCCCCCAACCCCTTTCCCTGCCCCCCTTTCCTCTAAAAACCTCACCCTCTCGCGAAACGGTAGCCGGGCTATATTGCTTTCCGAACAAATCGCTATATCCGATTCGCCTGGTTCGCTCTCATCCACTCTCTCTCTCTCTCTATCTCTCTCTCTCTCTCTCTATATATATATATATATATATATATATATATATATATATATATATATATCTCACTTTGGGATCCTTTTATCGAAGGAGGCAAAAATATCGTTGAAAGTCTTAAAAAAAGCTTGTTTGAATCTTTTTTTTCTAGGTGCTAATGCAGTAGAATTGTAAAAATTAGGAAACATAAAATAAAAATTTTTCTGGTCAAATTTTATTTATATTAATTTCTTACTTAAATAGATTCAATGGGTAAAAAAATTTTGACTGTGAAATGAAAGTTAAAATAGTAGTTTTATTATTATTTTGCATAAAATGGACAGTATTTTTATTCAATAATAGACATAGTAATTTCAATTAGTAACGGACAGTATTTTCAATTAGTAGTAGATATTATTTTGACTAAATACTAAACGGTATTTTTACTAAATAATAGACAGTATTATGAGTAAATTGTAGACAGTATTTTGAATCAATAATAAATACTATTTTGATTTAATAGTGGACAGTTTTTTGACAGAATTATTATCAGTATTTTAAATTAATAATAGACAGTATTTTGAGTAAAAAGTATTTGTACTAAATAGTTTATATTACTTTGACTCAATACTGGACAGTATTTTGACTGAATAATGGACAATATTTTTATTCAATAAAAGACAGTAATTTCAAACAGTAATGGATAGTATTTTGAATTAGTAGTAGACATTACTTTGACTAAATACTGAACAATATTTTTACTTAATAGTAAACAGTATTTTGACTAAATTATAGACAGTATTTTGACACAGTAAAAAGAAGTATTTGTATTTAATAGTGGACAGTTTTATGACAGAATTATTATTAGTATTTTAAATTAATAATAGACAGTATTTTGAGTAAAAAGTACTTTTACTAAACAGTTGATATTACTTTGTCTCAATACTTGTCAGTATTTTGACTCACAATCAGTAGTAGACAGTATTTGAGTAAAAAGTATTTTTACTAAATAGTTAATAGTACTTTGACTCAATACTGGACAGTATTTTGACTCAATAATTAGCAGTATTTTCACTTCATATTAGACAGTATTTGAGTAAAAAGTATTTTGACTAAATAGTTGATAGTACTTTGACTCAATATTGGACAGTATTTTAAGTCAATAATGGAAAGTATTTTGATTCAATAATCGACAATATTTTGAATAAATTGTCAGTAATTCTTTTTCTCAATACTGGACAGTTTCTTGACTCAATAATGGACAGTATTTTTAATAAATAGCAGACAGTATTTTCACTAAAAAGTATTTTAGGTAAATAGTGAAATGTATTTTGACTCTATATTGGCCAGTATTTTGTGTCAATATTGGTCAGTTTTGTGACTAAATAATGGACAGTATTTAGACTTAATAGTAGACAATAATTCAACTAAATACTAGAGTATTTTGAGTAATTAATTTTTATACAGACCTTAAAATATACTACACACAGTAATGGAAAATAATAAACAGTATTTTTACTCAATATTGGACAGTATTTTGTTAAAAATTTACAGTATGCTTTAATAAATAGAAGACAGTATTTTGCTAAATAGTAGACAGTATTTTGAGTAAATATTAATTTAAGTAAATAGTGGATCGTATTTTGACATAATATTAGTTAGTATTTTAACCAAATGTTGGACAATATTTTGATTGAATAATGGACAGTATTTTAACTTAATAGTAGACAGTATTTCAAGTAATTGTTATACAGTATTTTGAGTAACTAATTTTTATACAAATCTTTAACAATACTGCAGACAATATTAAAATAATAGTAAATAGTATTTTGACTAAATAGTGGATAGAATCTTGACACAATAAATGATAGTATTTTGAATAAATAGTCAATAATATTTTATCACAATACCGGACAGTTTATTGATATAGTAATGGACAGTATTTTGATTAAATAGACAGCAGTATTTTTTTTCAATACTGGACAGTATTTTGACTAAATAGTCAGAAGTATTTGAACTCAATTAAAAACAGTATTTTAAATTAATTATGAAAAGTATTTTGACTTAACACTGGGGAATTTTTTGACTCAACGAAGGACAGTATTTTGACTAAATAATCAAATGTATGTTGAATCAATATTGAGCAGCTCTTTGACTCAACAGTGAGTTTTATTTCGACTCACAAATACGCTAATTTTAATATTTTCAAAATTATTTACTTTAAACATTTTGTTTGACATCCTATAATTTTCCCATTATTAATAAAATATATAATAATAAAATAATTTATTAATAAAAAAAATCATTTTTTAAAATTGAAATAATCCTTTTTCTTTTAATTTGCATAACTTTTAAAAACGATATTTTGATAAAAAAAAGGGGTAAAAAAAATTTGTTTGCAGCATATACCTATTTTTAACGTTGAAGTTAACAATTATATATTAAAACATATTTATCATTCTTCTTTTCAAGACTCGCTGGCTATATTATTAAATGTCATATATGTATATATATATATATATATATATATACTAAATGTCTGTGTATATTTCAAGTTTTTCGTAACAATCTAAATGTAAATATGTCCAGCAATTTGTAGTTTAATAATACCTTTAAGAATGTCGGTTGTCGCGTAAAGAAGAGAGTTGAAAAATGAATATGTCTTACTACTTTTACCGACGACGCGAACAGGTTGTAAAACTGCGTTCTCAAGCGATGAGATTCTTTGCAAAATAAAAATTCTTTCCTTTTTCCAAAACTTTTCTTCTTTATTTTCCATTAAATTTGAAAAAAAAAATATTTTGTTCAAAGAAATTTTATTAACATAAAAATTATATTTAATAGAGAAAAAAAAATTCGACTTAATTAACAAAAAAAAAAAAAAATTATAATTGAAATAAGAATATTATTTAAATTAGAATCTGCAACAAATTTTTTCACTTACTGTTAGACAGTGTTTTGACTCAGTTTTTTTTTTTGAAAATATTTAGAATTATTTTTTGGTTAAAATTTTTAATTACATTTTAATAGTAAATTTACTAAAATTTGGAAACTATTTTAATAGGTGAGTCAAAATACTGTCTGTATGGATTTAAAAGTATTTCTTAATAGATGAGTCAAAATACTGTCTGTATGTAAAATAAAATTTCTCATCTATGGCTGGCTCAAAATATTGTCTGTAAGTACTGCCCACCCATCAGTCATGATACTTCCTGACAGAAACTTACAGTACTGTCCATGTCAAATACCAGCTGCCAGTAAAATTATAGTACTTAATAGATGAATCAAAATACTGCCTGTGAGTACTGTCTATACAATAATTCAGAAACTACTTGTCAAAAAAGTACTGTCAATCGTTAACTCAAAATACTGTCTACAAGAAAAAATAATAGTATTTCTAAATTGGTGAGTCAAAGTACTGTCTGAATGTAAAATGACAGTTCTCCCCATAAAAGTATTCCTTAATAAATGAGTCAAAATACTGTCTGTAAATGAAATAACAGTATTTTTTAGTAGGTGAGTCAAAATACTGTCTGCATGTAAAATAAAAGTGTATTTTAAGTATTTTATTAGGTAGTATAGGAAACTACTATATCTGTATTTTTTAATAGGTGAGTCAAAATACTGTCTGTAAATAAAATAACACTATTTTTTAATAGGTGAGTCAAAATACTGTCTAAAAGTAAAATAAGAGTATTTCCAAATTGGTGAGTCAAAGTACTGACTGAATGTAAAATAAAAGTTCTCCCCATAGTTGAGAAAGAATACTGTCTGTATTGTACTGTCCACGGATCAGTAAAGATACTTTATGTCAAAAACCTACAGTACTGTCCCTGCTTGCATAAAATACTGGCAGCAAGTAAAATTATACTACTTCCTTAATACTTAATTGTTCAAAATACTGTCTCTGCGTAAAATAAAAGCTCTTTTTGTAGCTGACTTAAAATATTGTCTGTAAGTACTGTCCCCACATCAGAATATTGACTCAACAATGGACAGTATTTTAACTCAATAATATGCTGTATTATGACTAATGTTCAGACAGTATTTCAACTAAATAAGGCGCCGAATTCCAACATTATAGTAAACATATTTATTTAAATGAAACGTACTTAGTATATTAACTCAATACAAGACAGTATTTTAACTGAATAATGATTTGAATATTGACTCAACAATGGACAGTATTTTGACTCAATAATAAAGAGTATTTTTACAAAATTGTTTTTTCAATACTAGACAGTTTTTTCGGCCACATGTAGGATGGTATTTTGATTAAAGTTTGGACAGTATTTTGACTCAGCTGTTAATCAAATTTAAACTTACCTTCGGACAGTATTTTGACTCAACTATTAAAAATATTTTACTTTACATTTGGACAATATTTCTCGATACTTTTCGACAGTATATTGACTAAATTGTACACAGTATTTTAACTTAGCTGTTGACAATGTCTTAACTTACTTCAGACAGTATTTTGACTAAAATTTGGACAGTACATTAACTTTCTTTTTTAATTAAAATTTGGACAGTACTTAATTTTTGAAAATGTTTGTACTAACGTTTGGACAGTATTTTGACTCAAATTTTAACAAAAATTCAAACTCACCTTTGGACAGTATTTTGAATCAGATTTTAACCAAATTCAAACTTACCTTTGGACAGTATTTTGACTCAACTTTTAATATTTTACTTTACCCTAGGATAATGTTTCTATATACTTTTGGACAGTATATTGACTCAGTTTTTATAGGAATATTTTAACTTACCTTTAGACAGTATTTCCCCTTACTTTTGGATATATTGATTGAAATTGAACAGTTTTTTTTAAATATACCATAGACAGTATTTTTTAACAGTATAGTAGACAGTATTTTTTATTCTTACAAAAAGAATACTTCGATTATATTATAGACAGTATTTTTTTAATTGAAAAGCAGACAGAATTTTCCAAATATTATTTTTGTTATTATTATTTTCGTTTTTCTTTTTCAGTTTTTTATTTCTTGTCTTTTTTTTGTGAAAATTGTGTAATAATTCATAGAATCATTTTATTAATTACCAAACCACATACTAAATGCTTGTTAGATATCAGTTAATTTGCAGTTATGTTGTCTATCATGTAATTAAACACAAATAGAAGGGTCAGTGTTCGCATAGCTTCAACATTCTTGTAAATCAAACGTTACGAACATAACTCACGATTAGGTAATCATTTAATGACACACGACTATATCGTTTCATTGAGAGTTCAATATATATATTTAACCAATATGAAGAAGCCAAAGAAAAACTGGTTGAGTTTTCATTATTGTATATATATATATTTATCTTAAAAAAAAGTATTGTCAATACATTTACAATAAATATATATATATATGACAATATTTATTATTTTTCTATTTTAGAATAAAAGAAAATAATATAATTGATAAAACTCAGACAAATACACAAAGAGTGAATTATTATTATTTTCATTATTTTTATTATTTTTATTATTTTTATTATTATTATCATTATATAAAAGTATAAAAGGGACAAGAACGTTTGCTTGGTATCTCGTCAATAATGATTTTTTGTTTAATCCATAAATAGAGTGATCAGTCCTGGAGTTTCTCAGTGAGAAACTTGCGACTTCATGATACTGTGTGTTTATTGACAGGAAAACGCGTCGCGAATCAACTTAAAAGTCTTCAATAACTTCACATTATACGCTGCTTCTCAATTAAAACTGTCACATATCAGTTTTTCATATTTCTAATTGTGTCTCCTTTTTCTCCGTGTATTGAATAATAATTGAAAGAATCTTGTTTTTTTTTTCTTTTTCAAGTCTAATAACGAAAAAAAAAAAATATTTTGACATTGAAAAATGTAATACTAAATTAATTGCAATTAAAGTTTAAATCAAAACACTGCTAAAGAAAATGATAAAAATACTGTGTCAATATTTACTAGCTAAATACTGTCCGAAATTGATACAAAATACTGTCTTGCTTCGGTTTAGAAATTATTTTCACAAAAAACGCAGACAATATTCGAATTTAGATTAGGATATTATTTTGATTTGAATCTAGACAGTATCTACGACTCAAATTAGGACAGTATTTTGAGTTGAATGTGGACAGTATTTTCGACTCAATTTAATACTGTATTTTGCTAAGAATATAGACAGTATTTTCGACTCAAATTAGGTCAGTATTTTGCTTTGGAATGTGAACAGTATTTTCAACTCAAACTAGACAGTATTTTGATTTGAATATAGACAGTATTTTCGACATAATTTAAAACAGTATTTTGCTAAAAATATAGACAGTATTTTTGACTCAAATTAGGACAGTATTTTGCTTTAGAATGAGGACAATATTTTTTGACTAAAATTCAGACAGTATTCTGTTTGCAATATAGACAGTATTTTTTGACTCAGATTGGAAGATTATTTTGATTTGATTTAAGACAGTATTAGAGACTCAAAAATTGGACAGTATTTTGATTTTATCGTAGACAGTATTTTTGACTTAATTTAATACTGTATTTTGCTAAGAATATAGACAGTATTTTCGACTTAAATTAGGTCAGTATTTTGCTTTGGAATGTGGACAGTATTTTCGACTCAAACTAGACAGTATTTTGATCTGAATATAGACAGTATTTTCGACTCAATTTAATACTGTATTTTGCTAAGAATATAGATAGTATTTTTGACTTAAATTAGGACAGTATTTTGCTTTGGAATGAGGACAGTATTTTTTGACTAAAATTGAGACAGTATTCTGTTTGCAATATAGACAGTATTTTTGACACAGATTGGAAGATTATTTTGATTTGTTTTAAGACTCAAAGAGACTCAAAAATAGGACAGTATTTTGATTTGATCGTAGACAGTTTTGCTAAGAATATAGACAGTATTTTTGACTCAAATTAGGACAGTATTTTGCTTTAGAATGAGGACAATATTTTTTGACTAAAATTCAGACAGTATTCTGTTTGCAATATAGACAGTATTTTTTGACTCAGATTGGAAGATTATTTTGATTTGATTTAAGACAGTATTAGAGACTCAAAAATTGGACAGTATTTTGATTTGATCGTAGACAGTATTTTTGACTCAAATTAAGACAGTACTAGGACAGTATTTTGACATAATTAATTAATTTATTCTTAATTACTTTATTATAATTAATAATAATTAATATTGTACAAAATACTCTAACTCATCAATTTTTTCTATACAAGCAAAAAAAAAAAAATATTTTTTCTTTCTCTAATCTATGAATATAAGAGAAAGTAAGAAAAAAAGTGAATGTGAGACATGAATTTGTAAAATATCTCCGCGATGCGTCTCTATGCCATACTGCTGCTGCTGCTACTGCTGCCGTTGGTGTTTAATCTTGGAAAATTTCTAGTTTGGAAAGTATATATACGAGATGGTACTCAATTTCGAGGTCCACGTTGGTTGGGAGATCTCCTCGTAATTCTTGGTAACGTTTAATATGGGAAGCGCCCTATAAGTGGGGGCTTACATAAAACGGCAAATATCAGAAGCCGTTACGGCCATATTATGCGACTTGGGTCTTTATTGCGCGATATTCTTTTTTTTACCAAAAAAAAAAATAGAGAAAAAAATGAACGCAAAATATAAAGAAGAAAACGTAGGAGAGAGATAGAGAGACTCTTTCCAACAGATGTCCAGGATGTCATTGGACGTTAAAAACTTAAATATCTATATATATATATAACCTGCATCTAGACATCAAGGTGAAAAGGTCACAAACGAAGCTATACGACGACCCTCAGGTTCAACGCTTTTTCTGTCTTCATTAAATATTTTAATTTATCTTTTTTTTATAGTGAACGATTGAATAAAATAAACATTTTTTCCTGTTGAAAATGTTTACGTATTAAATTCAAAGGAATCAAAAATAAAAATTTGATTTCTAAAGAGAAAAAAAATAAAAATGTAGAATTGTAAAGAAATAGAGACAGTATTTTGATTAGAGTCAAAGTACTGTCCTCATTTTACTTACAATACTGTCCTAATTTGATTACAAAATATTGTTAAGAATCAAGTCAAAGAACTGTCTTTAACTTAGTCAAAATAATGTTCTAAATTAAATCAAATTACTGTCCTAATTTGATTAGAAATACTGTCCCAATTTAACTCAATGTACTATTTTTTGGTGCAGTCACAATAAACTTAAATTGAGTTAAAATACAATTCAAAATACTGTTAATATTTAAAATAATATAATATTCCGATTTGAGTCAAAATACTGTCTTTATGTGAGTCAATACACTGTCTTTATTTGACTCAATAGACTGGCTTTACCAGAGTCAAAATACTGTCCTTAGATGAGTAAATTTATTCGTAATAAAATACTGTTTTCATTTGAGTCAATATACTGGCATTAACTGAGTCAATATACTGGCTTTGTTCGGGTCCAAGTACTGTTCTCAAAGAGTCACTATTCTATTTAACTGAGTCAAAATACTGTCTTTAGTTAAGTCTTACCAAAGTTAAAATACTGTCCTCAGATGAGTCAAAATACTGTCCTCAAGTGAGTCACTATACTGTCTTTAACTATGACAAATTACTGTCCTCATCTGAGTCAATATACTGGCTTTACTCGTATTAAACTACTGTCTATATTTTAGTCAAAATCCTGTCTACCAGAGTCAAAATACTGTCCACAGATGAGTAAATAATATTGAATTTATCAGAGTCAAAGTACTGCCTTTATTTGAGTCAATATACTGGCTTAACCCGAGTCAAAATACTGTCTTTATTTAAGTCAACACACTGTCTTTATTTGACTCAATAGACTGGCTTTTCCCGAGTCAAAATACTTTCCTCAGAAAATGAATTTATTCGAGTCAAAATACTTTTTTTATTTAAATCAATATACTGTCATTACCCGTATCAAAATACTGCCAACTTTTGACTAAAAATACTGTCCTAATTTCAATAAAAATTCTATCATACATTATATTAATATATTGTCACAAAATGAGTCAAAATACTGTCTTTTTTTGAGTCAAAATACTGTCTGTTTTTGGGTCAAAATACTGTCTACTAATTCAAATAAAAATATCGTCTATATTTTTGTAAAAAATACTGGTCAAAATATTATCTCTATTTAAATAAATTTCTCACTTAAATTGCAACAAAATACTGTCTTTATTTCATTTTAAAAAAAATCTATTTTTAAAATACTTTTTAAAATGTTCTTATTTAAATTAATATCGTCATTAAAATCGAAATCTAATTATAATTACCATATGAAAATTGAAATGAAAACTTTAATTGCACTAACAGTATTACAAACGAAAATAACAGTTAATTCACGTAAGTGAATATTAAATATATACACATATATACACGATAAAATCAAAAGTACAAGCTAACAATGATTTTATTTCACGGGTTATTAATAATCAGCAAAATGTGTAATAATAATTTGCTAAAATGATTGCAGAGTGAGTATTATATATAGAAAAAGTGTCGATTATCAAGACCATTAGAGAGAAAAAAAAATTAAAAAAAAAAAAGAAAATTATACTAGAGCCTATTACTTGAATTTGTATGCGTGACTGAACATAAAAGTATATTAAATGCAGTTATCGTATAATTTTAATAATCACGATCGACACAAAAGCAAAACAATAATCCCGCATAGTATATATATATATATATATATATATATATATATATATATATATCTGTACAATATTATATAGTAAACGCGCGAACAAGCTTTCAAGTCAATTCTTTCGTTTTTATGGGAAACTATGCGCGCGAATACCATTGCCGCACCGCTGCCGTCGGGACCCATTACGAATGAGAGTATATATATACCTTTTCGTTATTGA